ATCACTGGAATTACAGAGTATAGCTTTTATTTAAATTAAAACAGACAGTATATAATCATTTAAAATAAATCATTATTGGCTTGATATTCAAAAAAAATGCAAATATTTGGAATTAATTATTATTTGTGTTTATATAGTTTATAAATTGTGCAAAGGTAAAATGAAACCTTTATGAGTTAACTTTCTTTTTAACTTTTCTAATTGAAGCATAAACAAACGATACAGCTAATTGAAAATAAAGTGTTATTTATAAGTAGAGTGGGGTATCAAAAGTCACCAGACAACTAGAAATAATAAAAAAAATTTCCAAAAATTTAAAATGCTAATTGTGTTACAACGGTGACTAAAATTACGCAAACTTTTTTTATTAGTTTCCACTAAACTAGATCTATTAAATGGTATATTTTTTGTTAAAATTGAATGTCTAAGCATAGAGAAATTCCACTTCAAATAAAATTTCCAAAACTAATAATTTTAAACTTTGATCATTATCCATACCGGACTTAATGGCAATTATAGATAAATATTATATGGATTTGAAGCTAGAAATAATATCTACAACTTTAATTAGAAACTTATTTCGTCAGAATTTAATGAAAATTTTGACTTTACTTAGATGTGAATAAAACGACCAAATTTATTAAAATTATTAAAAATAAAAAATCTGAAAATAATTATCAATTATTTTTATATACATATGTACAATTTAAAATTCATTGTTTTACCATTCTGCAATTTGTAATTCTTTAATTTTGTCAATCAAATAAATCACATATCTTGAGACGTGAAACTCCATAATTTCAAAAATAGTATGCTACAACTTCTTAAACCCATGACCACAAATTCACCGACAATTACATCGACAAAAGCAACGACAGTAACCGAATCACCTAAATCAGTATATTGGGCAAACCTTTTATTATTAGGTTTTAACTAATTATTATCATGGGAAGAGACACAGGATTGGAACATATTCTCAATTAAAGCCAATGGAATTGATTGTATTTCTTTATTTTTAAATTAAATGATTTTAACCGTGAGGTTAGTAAAAATTAATTTATTAATTTTTTGCATCGTTTGATATAGAGAATTATATAATATCTAATTTATTTTACTTATTTAATTTTAATTAATTAATTAATTTGTTAATTATCAATTCTAATTCCAATAATTAAAATTAATCATTTTCCAAATTCCATCTCTTTTTAATTGTTCTAATCAATTAAATGCTATGCATATTTCTGAAAGACGCATCTCCGCTTTTCTCTATCCACTTTTACAAAGCAACACCATCATATTCGCCATTAATGATCTTTGGTTCAATGAGAAGGAAGGAGTTAATGGCATCATATATCACAAGTTCAGGGTGTCCGAGTTTAAAAAAGGTTTATGCACAGTTTGACCATAATCGTGGGTCTTCAGGTAACTTCCTTTGGTATACTCTAGTTGTGCGGTTTCGGATTCTCCATTGACAAATGTTTTATTGCCTTTTTTCGGCAATTGAATATCTGAGTCATGTGAAGAAAAATTATGGAGTAAAATTAGAAATTAGAACCTAATTTGAATTCAAATTTGAATCTTGTCCCAATTTGTATGTAACCTAAGGGTGCTTTAAAATTTATTTATTAATTTTCTTTCGATTTCTTAAATATGTAGAAAAAAGTCCAATGATAAATGTTTTATACTTAATATTGATCTAAAAATGGTTTTTTTTTAACATTTGAATTTGAATAATTTGAATTTAATATCAGTTAGAAAAAATGTGTCGAAACAATTTCTAATGCTGGTACTAAAACTTTTGACAGGAAACAAATTCTTGTATGCAAAGGCATATCCAAAGTTATGAAAAATTGATGACAATAAACTTATCACTATTAACAAGATTATTGTGAAAGCTTCTCCAAGAGGAACTTCGGATGATTGTTTAAGACCAAGACTTCATTAATTGCATCGTTTTAGATACACGTGGGAAAGAATATTGCACGATGTTCTTGGTATATATTTAATTTAATAATAATTTATTAATAGGAACAATTAAATATGAATAATATCAAGGATTAAAATGTAAACATCATAGTAAGTTTCAAAAGAATTTATTGATGCTAAATATTTTGAATAAGCACCAGAGAACTGCAAGGGTGCGATAGATTTTTTGTTCAAAGATTTTTTGTAAAAAATTTTAATTGTACCCCATTTTTTCATGAATATTTGTTAAATAATCAGAAATTAAAAAAGATAGGCAAAAATTTGGCCATGATGTTACTTCGAAATCATTTTTTCTTGTTCATATACTGTAAATACTAATTCAAGGGCAAAAAAGTTGACAAATATTCATTTTTCTTCATTGATTTATTATTCTTAACTAATTTGTAATATTAATTCATTAGATATCTAGATATTAATAATATTAGTCGATATTAAAGTATTGATTAGTGAGTGAGTGATCTAAAATATAAAATCTGTAACAATAAGTCGGTGGATCGAATATTGAATCCTGAAAAAAATTAGTTAAATTTGATTTTCAATATTGTCACGATCGTAACGGTTTTATATCACATGATGAAGCGAAATGTTTGTATCGTCTCAACTGGTATGTACGCAAAACAAATTTTAACAAAATTTTGAAGAAGTTAACAGAAAGTTTACTAATTATCTTTAATATTTCAGTATTAGGTGTTGATTGGTTGATAACAAAGTCCGGAACAGTAATGGAAATGTAAATGATAATAGTGATGAAATGGTGGAACTGGAACTTTTTTATGTTCGTTTAATTATAAAGCATTAAATATCAACAATAAATCATTAACCTATGATGACTTAATTAAACCTGTCGAAAAATTGTCTCAACAAATTAAGTGAGCTTTAGATCAGCAAATTAATTCAAACAAACGAATAAAGGTAGAATAAATATATAATATATTACACCAAATTCAATTAAAAAAATAAAATATAATAATTAATCAGGTAATTATAAAACTTACTATTATCTAGGGATTAGTAGTCCACACCCAATCACCTGGCTTAGCCTCTCCTATTTGTACAGATGCTATCCCATAGATTACATTATAAATGTCTCCCACAAGCTCTATGCTTCCGGAATAAGCATCTCTGATTTTAAAACCATCTTTAAGTGGTATATCATCGAGATCTGGAGAACGTTTGGAATTTTTAACTCTTTCAACTAAAAACCCATACTCTCCCAGCAAGTAACAATATCCTTTAGCAATTAACAATAATTAATAATATTAATAAGATATTTAGAACACCTAAATTTACATTTGATTCAACTTACTTGCTGCAATTATTAATGGCATTGATGGACATTAATCAAAAACAATAATGTATATAAAATCAATTAGAATATTTGATTTGAAAATAAACAAAAGAAATTTACATTTAATTCAACTTACGGTCTTAATTATAATAATAAAAAATGGATATAATAAAAAAACAAAATTAATGGACGTTGTAATATGAGTTAATAAAAAATTATCTTTATTTAACTTACCAGCTATAAGTCAAAAATAGAAATATATAGTCAAGTAAAACAGTTAAGATATAAATCAATTTGAATTAATTAAAATATTGATGATGAAATAAAATTATATTTGATTCAACTTACGTCTTGCATTGCCAAAATCGAGAGAATCATTTTTCACCTCTTCGGCAGATAAACGCCAGTTGAAATAACGAACATTGCTATTGCACAAAAGGTTTATTTTAATATCTTACTATTTTTCATAATACAATGATGAATCATACCTTATTTGACCATTAAACCCTGGTACAGAGCCAGTATGGCCAACACTAAATGGTTGTTCATTAAACTCAACATGTTCCTTTATGACTTGAGCGATACATCCAGATTCTATTTTTATACCGTCCACAAATAGATCCAATCTTTTTTCAATGTCAGAAACTGTAACAGCTATGTGATACCATCTATTTAATTGAAGTTCTTCACTCAATGTCTGAGCAGGAGGCCCGGTTCCTAAATCCCAATCCTTGTTAGAAGAGTAGCGAGGATATAATGTACACTTTTCTGTTAAAGAAAGAGAAGGCGTTCTTTGTCTGACTTCGTGCGATCCTAAATGTTTTATATTTTTTTGGGTTAAATATCTAATAATTTTTCTACGAAAAAAAAAAATAATTATATAATTAGTTATACCTACCTTTAATAAAAATAAAACCCCATAATTTAGGGTAACTCTTAACATTAAGTCGCAATGTCACTGATACTTCGTCTTTCACCGATGGCAGAACATTATGGTCGAAAACTCGTTGATCTTGCTCGGATAAACCAATAGGGTCTGAAATAAGCTCACTCCACTCTTTGACAATTATTCTTGTCATCTTAATTTTTATATAAAAGAACTGATTTTACTAATTCATAAACCGCGATAAATCTATCTTTTATAATAGGTAAGCTATGCAAATGATTAATAAAGGAGATCCAAGAAGAAGGGGAATTAAGTACTTAGTAGGGTTATTAAAAATTTTCATGAGTTTATTATTTTTAATATTATAAATAGATCAGGTCGTTCGGATTGCACCATTAATTAGACCGATGAAACTAGTTTATGCATAATAGTATTTGTTTATCGATAATAAACTAAATTCGATTAATTAATATATACTCTTTGAGACTTTTGGCGTAACTAAATACATAATTTTCAAGATAAGCCCAATTAATATATATTATTTGTATTAGTAAGCGTAACTAAATGCATAATTTTTATGATAAACTCAAATTCGTTGAGGTCTTTTCTAAATCTATCTTTCGGTATACTAGAATGAGGACCAAAAAGAAACGAACAAATCTTTTAAAAGGATAGTTATGTTTCTTTAGTGATTCCGGTTTTACTTGTGCGATCCGGTGTTACCGGCGTATTCGCAAAGAGTTTTGTCAGTAATTTACAGTTCTTTAAGGAGTTTGTGGTCCTTCCTCGAGAGTACAAGACTTTGAGTTTAGATTGCGGTGGAAAGAAGGCACCAGTCAGTTTTGAGACATAATGGTTCTTTAATAATGTACGAGTATTTACTAAAGATCCCCATGAGCCTTAGGAGCTCGCGAGTTCGAGTCTGATTAAGGCTCGGCTCGCTGGGCTCGCGAGCCTGTTTATAGAACTCATGAGCCATAATATAATTAAATTGTTCAATTAGACGATTTAGTAATGTTTATTCAATCATTAAAAATATTATTTATTAAGTCTAAAAATATATTATTGGACGATTTTATAATAATATTTATTAAATAGTTTAAAAATATTATTTTATTAAGTCTAAAAATATTTTTTTTTAGACGATTTCATAATTTGCCGCTTAAAAAAATTATTTTTAAGCGATTAATTATGAAATATTTATTAATTTTATTAAATCGTTTAAAATAATATTTTTAGGCGATTAATTATGAGACCGTCTAAAAAAATTTATTTTTAAACGATTAATTATTTAAATGATTTAATAATAATATTATTTTTTGATGATTAAATATTAAATTGTCAAAATAATATTTTTAAGCGATTATTTATTAAATCGTTTAAAAATATTATTTTTAGAAAAATTATGGACGATATAATAATTAATCGTCTAAATAATATTTTTTAGGCTATTTAATAAATATTTCATAACAAATCGCTTAAAAATATTATTTTTAGACGATTTATGATAAAAATAATAAAATCAATCTAATAAACTTAAAGATAAGCAGGTAATAATTTTTTTTTTAAAAATAATAATAAAAATTTATTGATATTGGGTTATTCTAACATTCAATACCACTCCGAAACAAATTCAAATACAAATTCCAATTCGTGAATTGGATGAATAAAACTAAGCCAGAGTTAAGGTATAAGGCTCAACCTTTTTATCGACCATTAGCAGCGAACCTTATATCAGTTTATAAAAAAATATCATTTACCAAATATTCACAAATAAATAAAAATTTACCTATGGTGATTGTTTTTTTTTTGTCTTTCAATTAATTTCTTAAGGGATTCTAATTCCGTCCCTGCCTCCATAGACTCATTTTTTATATTTATTATACCAATAAATACTTTTTTTTTTCAAATCTCGCGAAATTCCGTCACCATATTTATATTTATTAGCCATAAGTTTTATTCCAAATATATTTCCCAGCCTCCCTGAAGTTTTATAGCAATCAATAGCTTTATTTAAGCATATAAGAATTCTTTGTCCATATTCGTAAAAAAAATCCCAGACTTAAATATCCATGTCCACTTCCATTCTAAAATAATAACAATCTCTTCAGCTATAATCACGTCTTTCTTAGCAACCACAAGAAACAATCCAAAAGCTTCAAGTTCTCTCTTTACTCATTTTACATCCCATCCAATGCCCCATAATAAAAAAAATCCCAATAAACTTTATATTGAAGTGAATTTTTGTGATTTATAAACCATTGATATGTATCTTTAGGTGTTTCGTTATTAGCTTCAATAAACTAATTCAAATTTCTGGCAATTATACATATTCTGCCATTTTTTCAGTAATACCTTTAAATTTTTATTCTTTAATTTTTATAACGATACCCAGAGTCACGAGATTTGCGATTTCTAATTTTTAATTGCCTTAAATTGCATCAGGTGATGCTTACTTAAGCCATGAAAATTGAGAAATATATTTTTTTTCTAATTCTAAAATATAAATTAAATTTGACCACTGGATCAAATTTTATTTAAGATTTTCAAGCTCTTATCTTAGAGGTTCTGCACTGTAATAATATATATGATGATTGATATTGATAGTACAGTTGTGACAAAGGTTATTATATGGGATTAATAAAAAAATAATTATTATATAATCGTTTAGAAAAGAATTAAAAACTCAGCTACCTGCTGCATTAACACATGATTCATGAACACAAATTGCATATCTACATTTTTTTGAGTTTCTTTTTTTTCCGAAAATTATTTTTGATTTTGTCTAAGGAATTAATAATTTATTAATTTAACATTGCGTTTTTTTTCTTTTTCTTGACTGTCATCAACTGGATTTTACTTGATTTACGAAGATTTCAAGTCGTCAAAATTATCCATCTGGCGTAAATAAAAACTTGTCTAAAGTGAAAAAAGATTAAATATATATTTTTTAACATATGCTCTTGAATTAGACTATCAAATTTTTTTATCATCACTTTGATCAATCAATATAATATAATATAATATGGACAAAAAAACTCAATTACGCCAAGTCGTTTAATAATGTTTCTTTAAATAAAAGCACGAAAAAAAAAATCATTTAATATTTAAAATTTTATTTTTAAAAATAATATTATTAACAATAAAATATAAATAAAATAAAATAAATAATAAATAATGTTAAACTTATACAAATTAAAATGAATATTACTATAATTATTGTTTCTTTTCGAAAAAAATTCTCAATTAAAAAGTGCATCTGTGCTATAAATAATTGGTTTTCATATCCATAACTATTTCCAGAAATTTAATGTGAATTATTCATACTTTATATCAAATATTAAGATTTTTGTAACAGCTAAAATATAATGTAAAATAATTGTAAAATTAAAAGAATATCTAAAAATATTTAAAAATCGGGTACATATAATTTAGATGCAACCAAATAAAAAAATAAATTAATATTTTTAATTACAAAAAAATAAAATAGATGAGAATATTGATATAATTATCACTTATCAATACTTAAAACAGAATTAGAATTAAATTTTGTTAATTCTTCAAGTTCATTTTCAAAATTTTCATCATTCTTAAGTTTCGGAAGATTTGTGTAATTGAGAAATCTACTGGTATAAATTGCTTCTGGACGGGTTTTGTAATTCATTGGAGTTGGAGTTTTTGAATTTGTTAATCTTAAATTTTTGGATAATTTTTCACAATTTTCAATTTGAATAATTTGAATAGTAATTTCATTATAATTTTCATGATTATTTTCCTCATAATCCTCATAATATTTCCGCAATTCATCAGATAAATCTTCAAAAGTGGGTCGATGAGTAACTCGAGGATCCCAACATCTCATAATGGATCTTGTAATTAATTTTGGAATATAAAATGGAATTTTAGGTCATAATCCATCACATATTTGTCTAGCTAAATCTCTATCATGTGGAATATCATAGTATGGTGCAAAACCAGTAACAATCTCATAAGCTACAATGCCAAATGAATAAACATCAGCTGTTTTGGTATATTCTTCTCCGCTTAATACTTCTGGAGCTATATAGGGTAATACACCAAAAATTTGTCTTTTTTCGGGATTTTTTATATTTTGCCCTATTAATTTACTTAGACCAAAATCTGAGATAAATGAAGAAGAATAATGGTTAAAGTCCATAGATAAAACATTTCCAGGATGAAAATCCTGATGTATTATATCTAATTTATGAATATCCCTGAAATCATCTGCTAATTGTTTTAAATAGTCTAATTTTAAATCACAATTAGTGTATAGTATGACCTCCAATATTTTGGGCTGCCACTCCTGTTGGAGCTATTAAAAGATATTTTCTGTAGGTTTTGTTTAATTCATTAATTATGAGATTAATTATAAAGGATTTTTCTGTTCCTGCTGATCCAGTAATAAAAAAGTATGGATAGTTTTGACCATCTCTAAAACCCATGTAATTTTTTATAGTTTGCATACAATAGTATTGTGAAGTAGGGAGTTCAATTATGAGATTGGTTGGAAGTATTGGAGGAAAGGATTTTATTGAATCAATTTGTATTTTTATTATCCTTTGAATGTCATTGGATAAAGTTTGTTGCATTGATGAAAATAGTTCTTCAATTAATGTATTAAATTGTTCAATCATGGTAATTGTTTGCAGATAATGGTTTCTTCTATTTTGTTCAATTATTTCAGAAAATCTTTCAGGAAATTTTGACAAGAAATGATCATGATAAATATTATAATTTTCTTTTAGATTATTTTCATAGTGTGCAGGAATTGAAAGAAGTAATTGTTGGTAAAAATACAATTCACCATATTCTGTAGTTAAATAATGAATTCTTGTTAATATTGGTGGATTTCTTTTGATTATTTGATTTCCTAATTTATCTATATATGTATTATTTCTTGTTGTTCTGTTAATGGAATTTTTTATTTCATAATTTTTATAGTATTATTGATATGTTATATTTTTAAAAATTTCATTATCTGGTCTGTTAAAATATTTTTCAATATGATCAGTTCAATATGGATCATCATCATTAGAATTTAGTAATGAGAGTGGTTTTATTCCTTGAACGGATTGATGGAGGATCAGTAATAAGGTACATTACTTGAATTGATGAATTACAAATTTTTTCACCTAATAATAAAAACATAATTTCCATGGAACCCATTCTTCT